ATTGCTTGCGCAGACTATTCCAAGTGTCATTTGTAAAGCAAGATGATGAGAAACAGAAAGAGGTATCATCACAGCTGTCGACAGCCCAGACGTTGCGTGAAATGGTTTTAACATTCAGCTCAGTTATCAGTGGGGTGGCCATGTATGATTCAATCTGCTTTCAAAAATAAAAGCTTTCAAAACCACACCAGCTATCACCTCTTACAAACTCTAAGTACCCTTTTGACTGCTATTGCTTTTGCTGAAAAATAACACATTTAGTCATTTGTCATAATTATAAGAGTACTAACCACATGCAATGCTGGACCGCCTTTTAATGTTGCCAAGACTGTTATATTACAGTCAGCAGGGGTTTGCTGCTGTGAGCAAATCACAACTGCAGTGCCAGTTACATTCTTACCGAAAGGTCATACATGACCTTTATAAGCAGTTCATCTCCAATGATTGATCTGTTAGCAACAAAACTAATAATTACACAGCTCTTCATTTCCACTTTGTCTTTGTAGCATAACATTTCTCGCAGTGTGGAGGATCCCGGCCACATAGGAATAAATTGTTGAACCATGAACCCACTAAAACCCCACAGGTGCAGCTCAAGTTCCACTGCTTATTTTGTTCTCTCTGCAGGTAGATCGCAAAGAAGGCTAAACAATGACACATTAATTTCTATGTTTCATTTTTAATTCGCCCCCTGTTAACTTGACTACTGTATGTTTAATGATCCTTTCTCTCTGTATTTTGTATTAACAAATGTGTAGTGTTTGAATCAAATTTTAGGTTATGGGTTTTTTTATTTTATTTTTTTTAATTTATGTGTTAGAAAGAATAATTACGTGTGGTCTGGTAGATATGTTTTAAAGGTTTACTGAATTTAGTATTTTGGAAAATACTTATTTAAATAGTTCTTGAGATATAATCTATTTCTATTTACACAACTCCTGCACATTGTTCTTTAATTGCTAGAAAAAAAGAATTCTAGACATATACATTTTTTCATTTTTTTTATTGAGGAAAATATGGCAATTATTGAGAGTATTGCACTATTTAATATATTCACCACAATACTATAGCACTATACAAAGAAAATAGCACACTGTTAGGAGATTTTAAGAAAATGAAATATGTACTATATTTTTAAATATGCTCATACAATATTTTGTAATTATATTCATATTTACTTATGCTTTATAGAATGACATATTTATAATCCAAATATCCATTTTTTCAAACAATGTATTCAGGTCTTTTAACAGAATGCATGTTCAAAGTAAAACTGTGACCAAAAGATCATGTTTTAATTTTATATCTGCAACTACATAAAACATATCTGAGTCACATGAAACAAAAGGAATGGTGTAACCCCTTCAGGACCAAAGTTAGGCAAATCCTATGTTTCTGTGGTAGCTCTTCTATGTCATTGGTTTTGTATGATAACATATGACAGTTTATTTATTTCATTAGTTTAAAAAAATAAGAGTTTAATCCAACCCTTTTTACAAACTGTGTTATTTCTGCTTCAACATATTTTTTGTGCTTTACTCTCCTCATCCCCCATTTTTTTTTTAATTAAAAACCTTACACAATAAATAATGCAAACACTTACCTTGAATCTAGTGCTGGGCCAAACTTTCAGAGGACCACACCCCCCTACTCATATAGACGTAATGCTCTTCCACTCGTTCCCTGTCCAAGATCCAATCAAATGTTTTTCATTGAGATTCATTGTTGCACCTTGGGCACATCGACCTAAGTGAGATGTTATGGGCTGTATGGAGTGATAAAGTTTGCTTTGAGGAACCACTGCATTCTCTTTGCAGGTGTGCTCACAGCGCTGCCTGCAAAGGAAAAAAAGTAATTACGTCTATCACCAGTGTCGAGTGCTAAGGAAGGACGTTTTATTTTACAAAACCAAATGCATACTATGACATAGAAGTGTATGTCACAAGAGGTTACAACACAGCACAACAAAATAACATAAGGGGATAAAGGGAGGTTTGGAATGGTAATAGTCCACACAAAGGATTGACCCAATGCAAATAGGTTTAGTAGGCTCTCCTCCTCCTCTCCTCCCTCTTCTCCTCCTCTTCGGCTGAATGTGCATGCGCGGCAGGAGCCGCACGCGCATTCAGCCAGTCCATAGGAAAGCATTCTCAATGCTTTCCTATGGACGCTGGCGTCTTCTCACTGTGATTTTCACAGTGAGAAGCACGCAAGCGCCTCTAGCGGCTGTCAAGAGACAGCCACTGGAGGCTGGATTAACCCATTTATAAACATAGCAGTTTCTCTGAAACTGCTATGTTTATAAAAAAAAGGGTTAACCCTAGCTGGACCTAGCACCCAGACCACTTCATTAAGCTGAAATGGTCTTGGTGCCTATAGTGGTCCTTTAATATATAGAGCTGTGAGATTAGCACATTTCTATGGAACTGGAATATAGTTAATACTTTTGATAGCCTCTCCCTGTAAACACTCTGAACTGATGGCATGTGATTTGTTTGTTTGTTTGGGCAGTTGCATGTCTGTACTTGGTATCCTAGCCACATTGCCCAATACAAAGGGCCGTCTACAAGGTAAATCGGAACCCAATTTTATAACATGGATAGACGTTATAGGTATATGACATGACTTTCCATTATTTTGCACAGAAGCAAGGCTTACCATCTAAACAGACAGACAGGTGAATACCTAACTGAAATGACATGGACATAACTAGATTACTGTATACTGTGATCTATATCTTAAGAGTGGATATAGCATGGTGGACTGGTCTAAAGCATAACATTTTTTGAGTGTACGACTACAATGTATGATTTAACAATTCATTTAGCTCATTTCTGGAGGTTAATTTTCCCGTTCAGTTTTTTTTTTGGTTTGTTTTTGTTTTACATCTTAATTCTTTACCCCTTAAGCTTCACAATAGCACTCACACCATTAGCACTTTTATTGTCCAGATATTATCCAGTAGTTCAGACCTTCGATTGGAGTGCTCGGGTAACTATATGTAAACTTTTGGACTTGCCCTCCAGTGACTGTTTCAGTACAGAGACTGAAATTAACAATACCTGAAAAGAATAGAGATCAGACTATGGTATAAGATGGATTGCTTGTATTTTCCACCAATCACTGAACAACACATTGGCTAAACCATTGATTGATGAAGTATTTAAGTCATCAATCACACATCACAGGCCTTTTTTACAAATGGCTGCTAAAAGGTTCTGACATGCAGGTAGTATCAATGAAAGTTGGCTTTGCAACACAATATAAGAAAGACCTCTGACCCACAATTTGTTCACTTTTAAAATGTTCAATAACCATGTTAGTTGGTCGCTTTGCCAGCAAATGTTTCACTTTAAATGTCAGTATTCTTTATCCACATCTGTGTTTCAGTGATATTGGTCTTGTGCTTTGAGTAGATTTATATTCTAATACTTTTCCTGTGATTTCAGCAGACATGGATGTCAGTGCTTACATATTCTTACCATGCTCAGTACCGGAGAGTGAGTAAAATGCTATAAAACCACTGAAAATGTTAAGCGTGAGAGAAGAATCCCTGCATTTTAATATGATTTTAATTACATTTGCTACATTCATGCATTTCCTTTAATCCTTGTTAATAACTGGAACAAGATTTGGGAATTGCAGTATATAATAGTTTAAATTATAGAGTGTTTTCTTGTTATCATTTGTAATAGAGTTCGTGTTTACCTAAGTATTGCTATATTCATACGGATTATTCACTAAACCATGTGGGTTTGATAACAATGGAGACACATCATTTATCCCTCTGTTTCATAAACACTTTTTTTCTATTGGCTTATTGGGAGGAGTGTAGAGACTGGAAAGAGAGTAGATATATAATTTTGAATACATTTTCTTTTTTAACCCCTTAATGACACATGACATGTGTGACATGTCATGATTCCCTTTTATTCCAGAAGTTTGGTCCTTAAGGGGTTAAATTTAGCGAATGCAAATTAAAAGGGAGGAATTCTGAAAATGACTCTAAATTCCAAAATTGTCTAGATATATTTATTAAAGTAAATGTAGATGCAGCTTTGGAGATTAACCCCTACTGTTAGCATGAAATATCTTATGTAAATCAATCTATGTAAGGTTATGCATAGGGAAATCTTCCCATATAACAAAAAAGAAAACAAAAACAGTTACCTAAACACTATCCCAAATCCCAAATGCACATTTATATAACAGGAGATTTTTAGTACCACTCCAATGACCATTAAAGTTCAAACTCACCTACCTAGCAAGGCAAATGCCTTACACTAACAACTCACCTTTCTGCTTTCAGCTAAAAGGTAATATCCCGTCACGGGTTCTTGGAAGGGCCTGCTGGCCAGCCTCAGAACTATGGGCCCTGCAATATACCTTGCCCAATGCACTTTAAAAGACTCTGTTAATGTGAAATATGTACTTTTGTACTACAGACAGAGAGACCGACCGTTAGCCCTAATTCTCTGGAACTGTTTTGGGCATGGGACCATTTGCACGGTGGGTCAAAAATAAGACTTCCAGGAAATTTCTGAATCCCTGAACTCATCTGCGTGTTTTTTGGATATGTTGGTCACCCGGATAAAGGCTATCAGTGGATGTAACATTTGTGTGGTTTTATGTATTTTTAGGGTGCTTTTGGGGTGTTTTTAGAAAGTATGTTTTTTTCTGTGCTTTGAGATAATTGGATTAGATTAGTACAGTTCCTGATTTAATTATCTCCAAGGTAGAGGGGAGGGATTGTGTGTTTGTATATGGGAGTGTCATGCATTTAACCATTGTTGTTATAGGTTTGTATGTTTTGTGTCCCTGTCCCCAACAAGGTCCATGTAGGCGTACACCTTACTTGGGGACTTGCATAAAAGGCCAGCTGTGGCTTCCATTAAACCAAATGCTTTACCCCTTCATGAAGTCTTGGCTCATGTTTGGGGGATTGGAGAACTACATACACTCTGGGGATTGCTATATCACAATACTCCCCTGAAAATAATCTTCTAAGAGCTATTCACGCTACGCTCTCTGGACTAGGAGAGGCCTACCCATTGGGAGCTGGATCTTGGTCTTGGGTCAAGAGTGGGTGGAGGACGGCAAGACCCCAACCAACCTGCGGCAGTTCGTGGGGTTTACAGTCGTTATGGTGTTCCAGTGCAGTGCTTATGGTATTCGCCAGTACTAGGAAGCAGCGATTGACGGAGGTGCCCGGTCGGGGTGCAAGAAGGTTCGTCATACTTCCCCTATCCCCTAATACACACACATGCCCTATCCACTACTACAGCCCCTATCCTGACAGACCCAAGGTAAGTTGTCAAACTTTTCTTGAACTGTTTGGCTACTTTCTCTGGGAGAGCGCCATGGCATTCCTGGCATCATAACCACTACAGGGTGGCTGTAGTGGTTATTATGCCTAATTGTTTCTTTAAATAATCTACCGGTGCCCCTCCCGAGATTAGGTTCTGTATCTACCCCAGAATGGGCTCTTAAGAGGAGGGCTTATCTTGCACTTTAAGAAACTCCTATTGAAGACTTTACAGATTAATCTTAAATGTATATTGTATGTTACATTGTATATGTTTTTGTATGTATGTTAACATTCATTATTTAGCCAACAAAATACATGGCAGAAAAGATGTATATTGTGGACAAATCCAGATTCCTTCTATCTTCATCTGAGAGAAATCTAATTACTGTAAAGTTTTACTTTCCATGTATTTCTGCTTTGTTAATGTCTCTTATTTTATTGTGAAAGAAAATGTCTTCTGAAATGTCGCTACATGATGAATGAACTCACTTTTCATTGATAAGTGAATAAATAAAAGTTATTTACCATTCATTTAAAGACCACTGCTCTAGTTATTAGGCAAATTCTGACATCATCCTTGGTCAACCAACGAAAAAAGCAAGTGATTGGCAAAACATGGTGGCAGTTGAACTTACTAAACTCCTGGAGCCCTGAATGTCATGCCAAAGGTGCATAATTAATTGTTGTACAATAGAATATTGCCATTTAATGTAATTTGTGTAGTGCATATATGAATTGACCACTTGGTAGAGATCATATGACAGCAGGGGTAATGTAAATTGCATAGGAATATGAAAGGGGGCAGATGGTTTGCAACATGTATGGCTCATTTGATTAATCAAAGGCTCTGCAGGCTGTGAGATTCTACACTGGATATGCCTGGATATCTAGTTCCAAGCTCTGCAGGGTGTGAGATTTTACACTTGAGATGCCTGAATGTCTAGTTCCGATGTAAACTAGCTGACTTCAGCATATGGCCTCTGCCTCTTAATTGATTTGTTAATTTCTTTGATATGTTAATGATCATTAGCCTTGTGTTCAAGTATCATATCCAAAAGAAATGTTAATTTGTACCCACAGAATAATAATTAAGCCTAATTTTTTTATTATATTTAGAATGGGACCAGCACCATCTTCTAAACAAGCCTAAACATTACTGGCATAACTTAACCATATAGGAAGGGATTAGGATGTCTGCAATATTGGGTCACAAGTAAGAAGTATGACATATCTATGAAATGGAGAAATTGTAACAAATTCATAGATGCAATTATTATTTCTGTGACAAGTACAAAAGAGGAGATAGAAGAAAATGTTTCTATTTGGATTGATGTGGGTCTGGAACACAAGGAGGTGGTCACTTAATGTCTCTATAGATACACCTTAACTCCACCTCTAGGCCAGGCTTGGTAATCCTCAGGGTATATATCCAATCATACTGAAATGTGTATTGGACTTGCTTGGGGGCCAGAATCTAATTCTAAGTGAGTCACCACCTTTCTTACCAGAGACCCCCTGGTCAGATGTTTTACTTTGAAAACCTGAAGTTATTTTATTCCTTTTTGTATCTGTTGTTGGTGTAAAAATAATGTGTTTATCATCTATTTTTTGTATGCACTGTGACTATTTTTTGCTCATAATAAATGTTCCTTTATTAAGTTCTGCCTTTGTCTGGTAAAGAATCACATTACCTGAAGAAGTGTTTTTTCAATTACATAGATATTGTGCTTAATTGTATTTGGTGGGTTTTTAAATAGAATTATCAAATATAGAAGTAAATAAAATGAAAAATACTTTCCTATGGACACTTAAAATACCCTGTCCTTGGGTTTTAAGTAAGTAGCCCTTTAAACAATAAAGAGAAGAACCCCACTTACTCTACATTGTAATCTCTTTCAAACAAGGAACCAGCCTCGCCACTGAGCATTGGAGAAGACTAATTGCCAGCCTCCTGCCATGTGACTATGGCCCCTGGGATATATTGCCTGCTCTCCTGTACTGCTGAGGGTTGCTACCAACTAGGTGGATTTGGCTATGGTAGCAACAGCAATATGCACTACCTGAATAGCAAGACTGGTTCATTTGCATATCCAGGTAGATTTGCATATTGCTAATTCTACAGGCATGTGAGATATTTTGTGTTAATTATTGTCTCCCCTACCTCTTTAAAAATATGTCATTGTGTTATAATAAGTCAATATATGTTGCCTGCTATGATTTGACTGTTTGTAATTTTATTGAGTTTTCACAGCAATGTTAATGTAATGACCATATGGCCTAGTCCCAAATAAAATAAAGTTTTAGACAGTTCTACTTCACCCTCAGTTTGGAGTCCTATCTCTTATTGGGGAATCTGCTACAAGGGATTGCTATGCTCTGCATATTCCCTTGCTTTAATTACTCCTAAACTCTTGTAAGAGCTTGTTCCTGCTTCGCTTTGAAGGAAGAGAGGTTCGGCCTGCGGTGGTTGTGGTGTCGGCTAGAGTGCTTGGGGTACTCAAGAAGTGCTAGGAGCATCCTTCAACAGAGGTACCCAGTCGGGGTGCCAGGTGATCCGTTACAATACTCATCAACCTATTGTTCCCGTAACATTTTGCAATTGTCTAATTTATTGTTAAATTTATCCCTTTATAATATTGTAAAGTACGGTGGAATTGTTGGAACTACATAAACACGACTACTACTAGTAATATAAGAAACACAGTCATTCCATTCAAAGTAATAGTAGGTGCTGGTCACGGCAAAACCAGATGTATGTCTGTATTCACTGCAATTGTATATGCTGGATGTAGCTTCTGAATCTTATGGAAGGCACAGTGCAAAAAACTAAAATTATCTACTGTGACCACCAAAAGCAAAGTAGATAGAAGAAAAAAAATATCCATAAATGGCAATAGTTATCGCAGAAAAATTGTCTTCAGGGTCTTCCAGATGGTAATATGGAGGTTTGTTAAAGTAGGTGGGCTTTAAATCTGGAACCCTAACAGCTAACTAACAGGAGGTAATTAGGAAACTGAGGATATGTATTACTGGACTTTATAGTGGCTGTGCTTAACGTTATACCCAAGATAGGCAAAAATAGCAAAGTAGAAAACAAGGATTCCAGAAATACACATACATGAAAACACAAGCCAAAGAAAAACAGATATACAAAATGGTCAGAACAAAGTCAGGTCAGTGTACTTTTGAGTCACAGAAACCATCATTAAACAACTATTACCACGAAGAGAGAAATATATAAGGTGGAATTAAACACCAATGGACAGCATCATCATCTTGCACAAAAACACACAAAGGGGTGTGACTGTGAATGGGAGAACAATGTCTCCCCTAATTATGACCCTTTAAATTTTAATTATAAAAAATATAGTTTTACACAGTTCTGTAACTTTGAAGGATTCATGCACTATGCACGGGTAGCCATGGCTACCATGCAACTGCTGCAAACTCTATGATGTGAGGAGCACGTTGAGCGGCTTGATCTGAAGAATGGCGCGTGGCATTCAGGATGGAAAAAGACAAGCACACTGCGTTCTATTGTATAATAGAAAAGGAGCAGATCTCCAGACTCCAAGGTATGCCAAAGAGTTTAAAAAAAATCTATAGTTATACATTTATATATTATATATTATATATGTATTAAATATATTACATTTAAATATAGATTTTCATTTACTTCTCCTTTTTTCCCTCTGTCACATCTCACTTGATCTGTGAAAATAAAATCAACCTTTAGTGGCTCTCCTCTAGCCATTAATCATATATTTTTTGATGCCACCGGCAGAATTCTGACTCACAAATCAAAACAAACATGATTGTCTTTTGTGAGTTTTCTTTGGTTCTTCATTTGGATACATTTCAGCTCGTTGTTCGGGAATTCGGATGTTCACCTGATCAACCCAAATTTTAATTAATTGCAGTTCAGAACAAAATGAGTCTCAGAGTCTAAAGGCACTCGGATTTCTATTTGGCTCAACAACTTCTTCACATACATGTTAATTATATCCTTCAATATTCTATATAAAGCACTTGTAGTTTTTTGTAGCCTTTGTTCATAATGAATTTTCCATCACCAGTATTAATTTTGTAGCTTACCTCTGCACTTTGTAGCTCGACTTTGCATTTCAAAGTAAAAAAATTACAAAAACGTCTCATTGACTTAAAGTTGAACTGTCATTCTGGAAACCACACCATTGAATAAAACATTGATAACACCTGAAACCTTTTCTCATGTTTTATTTTGAACCTAAATTAAAGATTAGGCAGTTGACACAACCCAGTTCAGTCCAGGCCCAGCGAGGGCGCACTTTGCATTGGAAGAGGAGAAACAAAACATTGTTATTCATATCTCAACCATGTCGAGATAAGCACTGTTGAAAAATAAAATGTTTGCCAATGCTGTGCTTAAAATATATATTTTAATTAAAATACCCTATTAGAGTGTAAATCCTGAGAAAACATGAAGCCCTTTTATTCTGTTCAACTGTTTTATGGCTGTTTTCATTTTTAAGAAGACAGATTGCTTAGATTTTCCTGAATACTCAGGGTCATAGATATACAATTGATGTTCAGAAGATAATGTGCTTGGTCTTTGTGTATATGGCTACTTGTTCTCCTTTGCAGAAAGATTTATGTTTTCAGCCATGCAAAGGGAAATAACCGCATTGTGGAAAAGAAGTCAAATGTTTGCTTGTTCAAGCAAAGCTCTTATTCATCTTCCAGCTGACCAAATTCATAAAAGTAAACATGGCATGACTTCTCCAGTGCAGAAGTGACTGCATATTGTCCTACAATAAATACTGCTATATTTTAGCTCAACTCATTGGATATTGACAGGCTATGAAAACAAGATGAAGCCGTGCTATAACTCACTGCATCCCAGTTTAGTTTTTCTTA